GACGGCCAAGGATAACCGGAATTTGGTTCTTTGGATTGGGCACCGGTTCCGTGTCAATGACGACAAAGTCAACCGGGAAGAAGAACTTATCAATCTTAATCAACACATCCTCAATTATCCCCCTAGGCTTCTTAATGGATCGGTCGGCAAGTTGTAAAACCACCGACGTCGGTTTCAATTCACTTAGGCCCAATTTGACATAAACCGAATAGCCCCTAAGTCAAGAAGTGCCCGGTTGATGACATGTTCACCAATGACACAAGATGTTGTAGGTGCACCGGGGTCCTTAAACTTTGGCAAAGTGTTGTGTTGTAGAATGGAACTCACTTGTTCGGTTAAGACCACCTTTTTTGATGTTTGGCTCTTGTTCTTCCGCTTTTGGGTGCATAAGTCCTTTAAGAATTTGGCATAAGCCGGAATTTGCTTAATTGCATCCAAAAGTGGAAGATTAACTGTGACTTGCCTAAACATATCCATTATTTCATTGTTCTTGGTCTTTTGCCTTTCTTTTGAAATGGACCCTTTCAAGGCGTCCGGAAATGGAGCTTTTTCAAAAACTCTTTCAGCATTTTCTTTCAAAGAATTTTCAGCATTGGACTTGTTCGATTCATTGGATTTCAAATCACTTTTCAAAGAAGAATCATGAATAACATTTTTCAAAGAACTTTTCTTAAATACATTTTTCAACACTGTTTTCAATGAATCTCTTTGGAAATCATCTTTCAACTCACAATTTGAGGGCTTCTCATTCTCAAGATCATGCCCATGCAATGAAGGAGGAATAGTGTGTGGAACGGGACGGGTGACAACTTGAGGTTGTACCAGTTCACTCTCTTCATTAGGCATTTTAACTTGATTGTCTACTACCCTACCACTTCTCAAGGTTGTTACCGCATTGACATGCCCAACATTATGCCCTTCCAATGAGGATTTGGTTTCTACAACACATTGTTGTTTGATTGGGGCATTCACGTGCATCTTTCCCTTCTCTCTAGCATTAAGTGTTTCAGCTATTTGCCCTACATGGGTTTCTAGCTTGGCAATTGACTGAGAATGAGAATGCAACAATTGAGTATTTGCTTCTAGAGTGCCCAAAGCATTTAAAACCTTTTCCTCAAAAGCGGAACCTCTAGAATTTCCTTGAGAATATGATTGGTTAGGAAAATGAGAATTAGCAAATTGATTTCCTTGTGAGTTATATGGTCTTGAACCTTGGGATCCTTGGTTTTGAAGTGGAGGTGGAATGTATTTCCCTTGAAAACCGCCTTAGGAAGAGTTTGAGCCCTCCCCTTGGTTTTTCCAAGAAAAATTAGGATGATTCCTCCAACCGGGATTGTAATGATTACCATAAGGATTGTTCCCTTGGTTCACAAATGTTGCATTAACTTGCTCAATGGGTTCATTTTGAATTTGTCCATGAGGACAATTAGAAGTAGAATGAAGAACACTAGAATAAGTCATGCATGATTCATTTTGAGCTCTAGGAGAATGATTAGGAAAGGAAGACACTTGATTTGCCGAGTTTTGATTGATCAATTTATCAAACTTTTGAGATAAAGACTTCATCTCGGCGGTTATATCATTTGAGTGGTCAACTTGATGTAAGCCAACACTCTTCCTACCTTGAGAATTTCTACCATTCCTAGATGACAATGTTCTATGCAAAGAGTTTTCACTCATACTCTCATAAAGACGCCACACGTCTTCCTCTTGCCGGTCTATATAAGAACCTCCCATTGAAGCATCAACCATGCCTTTATAATTGTCCGATAAGCTTTCAAAGAAGAATTGGACCAATTGCCATTTAGGCATGTCATGGTGAGGACACTTCCTAAGCAATTCATTGAAGCGTTCCCATGCCTCGTGGAAAGTTTCTCCCTCCCCATGTGTGAATTCCCTAATTGCGGTTCTCATAGCATTGGTCTTCGAAACCGGATAGTACTTTTTCAAAAATTCTTGTTGCATTTCTGCCCAAGAAGTTATAGAAAAAGGCCTAAGGTTGTTGAACCAATACTTCGCCTTATCTTTAAGGGTGAATGGAAAAAGTTTCAGCCTTAAAACTTCTTCTGGCATGTCCGTGTATCGAACGGTAGAACAAACTTCAAGAAACTCATCCAAATGCTTGTAAGGTTCTTCACTAGGAAGTCCATGAAAGTTAGGTAGCATTTGGATAGTTTGTGCTTTAATCTCATAATGGTGTGCTCTAAATGGTGGCAATTGAATGCATGTGGGTGTATTATACTCATTAGGCACATAGTGATCTCTCAATGCGAGTGGTGGATTAGCAACTTGAGGTGCAACATGGACACCTTGGTTATATTGAGCTTGATTAATGATGGGGGGTTGTGGTGCATACATTGGCCTTGGAATTCCCATTGGAATTTGGCCTTGTTGTTGAGGAGGTTGATGAATGTATGGCCTAGGCATGCCTAATGGAACTTGCATATTATCATTTTGCACATTAGGGTGAAGGATGCCTTGTTGGTCTATGTGACCAAGGTCTTCAACATGATCATCATTGAGAGCATCCATTGGTAGATTGGTTCTATGTGAACTTCCTCTTCCCCTTGGATTCCTAATAGTGGATTCTAAATGCAAATCAAGAGGGACAAGAGTAGGTCTCAATGAACGATGACCATGCATGCACAATGCAACACGAATAAGCAACTTTCTCAACAATGCAATTAAACTTCACAACCACAATTTTCAAATGCAATGTATGTCAAATAAATGCCTCCACGTGGGCCCCCGATTTAACTAAGGAGATTGAGTAAGAAGGTCTCACAATAGTCCTTTAGCACTTCAACTCCAAATTTAAAAGCTTAGCTTAGCAAAAAAAAATTTTTAGCAACTCTTCATTTTAAGCATTTTTTTCCTTTGCTTTGCTTTGCTCCTTAGCTTGGAAGTTCTTTGCTAGCTCCTTGCTCAATGCACCTTGTTAATGAAGAACAAACTTAATAAGTAATCAAAAACAGAAAATAAAAAGAAAGTAAAAACACGATCAAAAGAGTACTAATCCTAATTGAATTTCACAATTCGACGTTGCCAATTTAAAATCCCCGGCAACGGCGCCAAAAACTGACCGGTCCTTTACAAGGGTCGCGATACCAAGTCAAGCTTGAGAGTTGTGTGTGTTTAGGAGGTGGCCAAGTTTTACATTTATAAAAAGCCACTACTACCTTTCTCTATATAAAATATAGATAGGGCGAGTAGGGATCGTCCCAAGGGATTTGATGGTGTATCGAATTGTGAAACTATGGTAATTAGGGTTAGTAGGTCAAGTGATCACACAATTGGTTGGTTGGTTGATTAAGCTAAATTGAATTCAACTAAAGAAAATAATATGAGGTAAACAAGAGAGAGAGGTCTTGGGGTGTAGAGATCACCACCAAGCAATACTTTTCTATACTACTAACAAGTGATCAATTGAGGGTAATGGATGTGTTGCAATATGATAAGGGTGTGTGTGCATTAGGTTGATTCAATTGGCAAGGATGACAAATCAAGCAAGTATTGTCTAAACATCATGTGAAGAGCACAATATATCTAAGCAATAGAGCATATATTGTCTAGACAACATGGGGATAGCACAATAGATCAAAACAAGTCATTAATCCTTCATTAAGCTCACAATCCACATGCAACACAATATTAGAGGAATATGCCATTTGGACTCACAAGCATGGAACATCAAACATCAAGAGTAGATTGTCCTCCCATCTAACATTATACTACCACTACACTAAATCTACACTACTAGCATGAAAATAAAGCTATCTAGACTAGGGGAGAGGCACAAACCATCAAGAATAGGCATAAACCATCAAATGAACCAAAATAGCATTCATTAAGCATATCATCTTGATAATCTCTAGATCTATAGCATCAATACATATAGACATGCATCAAAAACACTAAATCTAGAGATAAGCACATGAATATCCTACTCTAGCATACATAGACATATGGGTAGAATAGAATAGTCAATTGGAAGCATTAAACCATACAAATCATGAAATAATCAAGATTTATATATACATGAATATCAAGATGTATCATACAACACTAATCCCTCAATAATACACAAGATTAGAGTATAGAAAGCATGCTTGGGGCTAACTCTAGCCCCAAGAAGATGTCTAGCCACTCATGGTAGTGATGATCCAACCCTCAAGGGCTAACTCCATGGCTGCTCCTTGTAGATGAAGATCTCCTCCAATGGTTGCTCTAGCTTCCTCCCTTTTTCCTCTCCAAGAATAGCCTCCAAGATGATTTTCAATGTGTGACAAGAGACTCTAGGCTCTTCTCCAAAAAGTGTATCATATTCCTTATATAGGTAGGTCAAATACACCCTATGATGAGCTGTGGTCGTGCAAGGCATATTCTCCAATGATTGGGTGAAGGACGGAATAAATGAGCTGGACTTTAACTTTTTCTCGCTGGAGGAAGTTCGATCGATCGAACTTTAACTTGGATCGATCGAAGATGGGTTCGATCGATCGAACTGCATCTTGGATCGATCGAAGTGGTCTGACTCCTCCGGATAAGGATAAGGCTGAGATATTTCGAAGATATTTATGGGGAAAAGGACAAAAGTGGTTGGTAGGCGTACAGCTGTGGATAAGATCAATCATTTGAATAGGACAAAATAGGGTTCGATCGATCGAAGGTGATGTTGGATCGATCGAACTTGGAATTTCAGCAAAGGCCAAGGTTGGATCTATCGAGAAGTACTGTGATCGATCATAGATGTTCGATCGATCGAACTCTAAGTTGGATCGATCGAACTTTTCAGCTGCACAACTTTGATTCCTTTTTGTTCCTTGCTTTCTCCACTTTGCTCCCTCCTTTGGTTTATCTCAGGATTGCTTCAATTAAGCTCTTATTTGGCTGAGTTAGCTCAATTTTGGGATTAGTGCCTGAAAATATAAATAACACGTAATAAGTCTAAAACGGCAAAGTAAGATAGATAAAGGTACTAGAATGCTTAAGCTTAACGGGTTTAAATGCGCACTTTTCAGTGCTCATCAACATGAATATTGAACAAGAAGATATTCAACATAACAATAGTCCACTTAATATCCCTGAGGGTGAGGGGGAAGGGGGTGCAGATAGGTTTGCGAGATTGTTGCAAGATTCACAATGTGAGGTGTGTCCAGGTTGTCAGAAATTCACAAAGTTGTCTTGTATTCTTAGGTTACTCCATCTAAAAGTTATGAATCGATGGACTAACAAGTCGCTCACTATGTTACTTGAGTTTCTTAAAGAGTTGTTGCCAAAAGATGAAACATTGCCAAAATCCCATTACGAGCTTAAAAGAATATTGCGTGATTTGGGACTTGGCTATGAGACGATTCATGCCTGTAAACATGATTGTGTACTCTTTTGGAAGGAATATGAGCATAATGAGGAGTGTCCTAAATGTGGTGCATCTCGGTATAAATTCCATGAAGCCAAAAGGAAAAAAGTTCCTCAGAAGGTTCTTCGATATTTTCCCTTGAAACCAAGGTTTCAAAGATTGTATATGTCAAGAAAGACTGTGAAAGATACGAGGTGGCATAAGGAAAAGCGTGTTAAGGAGATGAATGTTTTAAAACATTCAGCAGATTTTAGAGCTTGGGAGGAATTTGATAATCAACATGGTTGGTTTGCAAAAGACCCTCGAAACATTTGATTAGGGTTAGGAGCTGATGGATTTAATCCATTTGGTAACATGAACAATGCATATAGCGTGTGGCCTGTCTTTATTGTAGCATACAATGCGACACCTTGGAAATTGATGAGGGATCCATATGTGTTCATGCCGTTGCTTATTCTCGGTCCAAAATCACCTGGAAAGGACATTGACGTGTATTTGAGACCGTTGATAGATGAGTTAAAAGAATTGTGGGTGGATGGTGTCTCAACTTATGATGCATGTACCAGAAGAAAATTTAAATTACATGCGGCATGTCTATGGACTTTAAATGACCTTCCTGCTTTGGCGGATTTGTCCGGTTGGTGTACGAAGGGGTATATGGCATGTCCAAGGTGTATGGACAACACAGAATCAGTGTGGTTGAAGAATGGTAAAAAGATTAGTTATCGTGGTCATCGACGCTGGTTGGATTTGGATCACGATTGGCGGAATCGTTCGAAGCAATTCGATGGTTATAAGGAGCATAGATTACCACCCAAGGAGTTGTCTGGGGATGAGATTCTAGAAAAATTAGAACAATTAGATCATATAAGGGATGTCAATTTCGGGTAGGTACCAAATATTAAAAAGAGGAAACGTACTACAATCGAGCTTAATTGGACAAAAACGAGCATTTTTTTTGAATTATCATATTGGAGATTGCTCAAGTTGCGGCACAACCTTGATATCATGCACATCGAGAAAAATATCTGTGACAATGTGTTGGGGACCTTGATGAATATTGAAGGGAAAACAAAAGATAGTTTGAAGGCTCGTCTAGATTTACAAGAGATGGGAATAAGAAAAGAATTGCATCTTATCTCTACTGGTGCAAAATATGTAATGCAACCTGCACGTTACACACTGTCAACAAAAGAAAAAAAGGAGTTTTGTGAATGGTTGAAGACGATTAAATTTCCAGATGGATATGCATCTAACATATCTCGGTGTGTTAATGTTGCAGAATGCAAAATATACTGGCTGAAAAGTCATGACTCGCATGTTCTTCTGCAGCGACTCTTACCAGTCGGCATTCGTGGTTGCTTAGATCATGATATTTGCAATGCATTGGTTGAACTTGGCATTTTCTTTAAAGAGTTGTGTTGTAGGACGTTAAAGGTTGAAGTGCTAGAAGCTCTTGAAAGGGATATTGCTCTTATACTTTGCAAGTTAGAGATGATCTTCCCTCCAGCATTTTTTGATATCATGGTTCATCTTGCTGTGCATTTACCCGGGAGGCGCTCGTAGCTGGTCCTGTACAATATCGATGGATGTACCCTATTGAAAGATTTTTGTGCCCTCTTAAGTCATATGTTCGCAACAAAGCACGCCCGGAGGGTTCAATTGCTGAAGCTTACGTGGATAATGAATGCATAACTTTTTGTTCTTTGTATCTTAGTGGAGTTGAGACACGGTTTAACCATGAGGAACGGAATTATGAGGGAGATCAAACTGTGCAAGGAGCTTCCTTGTATGTATTTAGACAAGTCCTTTGTCTATTAGGTTCCTCAAGTTATGATACATTGGATTTGATGGACATTGATAGGGCTCATTTATATGTTTTGAACAACTGCGATGAAATCCAGCTGATATTGAGGTTAGTTAATTTTATTTTATTTTTCGTTTTCAATAATTTTACATCTTCATATATTTTTTATAAACAGTTGCGTGTAACATTTTCAAATATACATGTATGTAGAGAATATATGGAATTTTTACCACGACCAGCACAATCCACGGTAGAACGAAGGCATGCACTGAAATTTCCAATTTGGTTTGAACAACGTGCAAGTGTTTATTGCTTTTCTCTATTGTTTCTAATTATATAATTTATTGTATTTGGAAGTAATTATTTGTTAATATGTGTTGTGTTTATAGATAAAGCAAATGAGGCAACTAAAGGACTCATCAATAAATGATGATATTTTTTCATTGGCATGTGGACCTGAACAACGAGTCAAACGATACACTGGTTGCATTGTAAATGGATCAAGATGTCACACAAAGGATAGGGAGCAAAATCGAAAAACTCAAAATAGTGGTATATCTGTTAAATGTGAAGGCGTTGAATATTATGGTGTTTTAACAAAGCTGGGTATACACAAAGATACCCACTTCAATAGCGTTAATGTATCACGTCGATCGTACGAGGATCAGCCGTTTGTTCTACCTCAACAAGTCCAACAAGTCTTTTATGTGAAGGACACCAAATTACGGGGTTCATGGGAGGGGTGGTTCAGAAAATAACTTGTAGAAGAATATTTGATGTTTCAGTGGTGGAAGATGGAAAGGGAGAGGAAGAGGAAGATGAAAGTAACACTGAGAATGATGCATATCAAGAGTCTGAGCCTTGCATTGTTGATCGGGTTGTACAAGATTGCCCAAATATAGATCAATTGTCGTTGAATAGGGATGACACCCAGTGATCAGATTGATGTAGAAGTTGTTCACAAGTGTAGGCAAGACACCCATGTGGTTGACAATGAAGATGTAGAACTATCTGATTCCTCCACTGATGAGGAATATACTTTGCTTACTGATGATGATACTGATGAGAGTGATTGGGAAGAGGGATAGTTTTTCAATATGCACGACTTTTTTTACAATCTGTTTAAGCCAAATTTGGTTTACTTTTTCCTTGGAATTGAATTAACAAATGATAACATGTTTTATTTTATTGTTTTCCTTTATTGAGTTTACTTTTTCCTTGGAATTGATTTTTTTTAATTTTGCTTCTTTTTGTTTTTCCCTCTATTCACTTTTTGAAGGATATCTAAAAAGAGTTAGATCTGCTAACAAGTGCTACTGGATCAGTTATCCTACAATTTTTTGTTTTCCTTCAAATAAATCATGAGGTCTGTATTCCTTATCACCGTTTTTTCAAATATCTAGCCCATGCAGCTTTGCTGTAATATGTTTAGATTTTTTATTTTTTATTTTTTTTAATTTAATCTCTCTTTTAATATTTCCTGTTATTGGTATTCTTAGCTCAATTGGTCTCTGGCCATAGGGCAAGACCATGTAGTTTCTATGTATTCATTTTGATTCCTTATCTAACAGGGTCACAGTATAGGTCCATCACACAACCTCGATAGGAGCAATCTTATTGCAAATATGGCTTCAACCAATGGTTCATCAGGTATCTTTATTTTTTGAAATTAAATATTATTTTACCTGTTCCATCAATTTTCTTTCTAAAAACTGCTTTGCATGTAGATCATTAACACTTTTTGAATATTATTTTACCTGTCTGAGGAATGAGATCAGTACTAAATTTAGTCTCCAATTTGAAGCAATTCTCTGTTGTTTGCTTTGTTGACTTTGTCGTACCTGTTATTAAGCCCCATTGTGCTGGATTAAGAGTTTCTACATTTAATTTTTGCTTTCAACAGAACAACTAGTTTAGTTTTCTTTGCCTCTTGGGAAAACAGTTGCACTTAACAGTTGGACTGTCCCAGGCCCAGCTTTGGAGAACCTTATGTGAATGCTCATTGGATGCACCTCTCTCTCTCTCTCTCACACACACACACACACACATACAATCTTCCGAAGAAATCTATAGAAACCAAGCCAGAATATGGAAGCCTTATTATAAATTCTTTTTGGCGAGTGGGGTACCCTATATTTTTCTTTCACGTGAACTCACACATCTTCACATCACTCAATTCAAGCTACTTATTGATAAATGGTGTTTCAAAGTCGTATTACATAGTTCAGGTGTGTTTCATAGCCAGCTACAGTTCATGTTTTTTTCCCTTCATTTTTTGGTGTGTGCGCGTGGACTTCAATCTCTATGACTAAAATTTTCTTTTCTTTATGAAAAACAAATATGTCTAATAAATAGATGGCCAGAGAATGTAATATTCCTGATACCATTAAGGATTGATTTATAAGTTGAGAACTTATTTAATAAGTCACTAGTTAGTGCTCTTCATTGTTATCGAACTGAATCAACTGGGCAAGGCAAAATGCGAAACAATTGTCCAAAGTTAAAGGGAATGTGCATTTTTGCTGTGGACTTGGGGTCTTTGAGATCTTGCAGGGAACATGTTAGTCATAAATTCATGGATTTGAAATTGTAACAGTGTGCTGGAAAAAAGAAGAAGCATATAATTTAGTCTGAGCAGGTCCAGAAGGGAGGAGAAGTACTGATGATATATATACGTATTTTTTTTCTTAATTCTATTTTATTTGACTATGTAAGAATTAAGTTTGGGGAAATATAAAGCTCCAATGTAGGCCAGTTCTTAGAAACCCAATGTCAGGGCTTTACTCTCGCCAATAAAAATCCAAAGTAGCCTAATTCTTAGAGCCTATTGAGGATACATTGTTTTTCCATATTAAGGAACCTGTTTGCGGTCCGTGTTCTGAAAATAATTAGTGAACTTTGGTAGTTGAAGAACTTCTAAGTTCAATAAAGGATGTCTAAAAAACACTAATTTAATCATTGTGGCATAAGTGGTTTACATTGCCTTGAGATAAGGGGTTTACTGATTATTGCCTTGAGATGCTGTTGCTGTGTCAGTAAGGCTGCTTTTGGATACTGTTATCCTTTTTTGCCTTAGCATCTGCATTATATGCTCATATATTTTTTATTGACTGTTGTACCAATCATGTGCAGCTTAGACTAGGGTGAAACGACATGGAATTGCAAAAAATGAGAAGCTGCAACTTAAAGATTTTTACGGAGGACCTATTCCAGTTGAAATCAAACCAGAATACATGAAGGTCACTGGGGATAATGCAGGTGTATTTACAGCTGAACACGGCATTATAGTTCGTGGTAGTGGAAAACTCTTAATTTATGAATCGTGGCTTGATGTTCCAGAAATTGAAAAACAAATTATGTATAATGAAATAAAGGTGAAGTATAAGTGTTACAGTTATTTACTTGTGACTTGTTTACTTTTTAAATTGAAGTTCGTTTTCTAAAGTTAGATGTATTATAGCAACATTTTCAAGTTGATTTCAACGATCCACACCACAAAGAAGTTGTGGATTTGCAACTTCATACCCGACTCAAGGATTACCGACATGAGGTAAAAAGTCATTGGAATTTGTTTGACCCTGATGAGGCACCTCGAAATCCATATAAAAGTGTTCGGTCTGAAGTTTGGTCAGTATTGTGCAATCGTTTCATGTCAGAAAAGCATAAGGTAATCTCACATTCCACTTCAAATAATAGGCTGATTGTACCTTCTTTAGTTGAAGATTTTGCTATTATTTAGAGCAACAGTAGTAGCATAATTAACCATAAACTTTCATGATTTGATACATTCTTTGTGTAGGAAATTAGTGAGGAAAATCAACGGAACTGGGCTGCACTACAAGTTCACCATTGTGGCGGAAGCAAGTCCTTTGTGCGGTATATTGAGGAGAAGGTAATAGTTATTGAACCAAATATTCTTTTTACACACTTGCTTTTATATGTTTCTACAATTGACATATAATAATTCCTTGAACTTTGCAGAAAACGTCTCAGAATGGAGTTCAACCTAGCTTGGTTGATGTTTATGAAGAAACACATCACCATCCAGAAAAGGGTTGGACATGTGAGAAAGCTCGGGAATTGCATGTAAGAATACCCTTCCTCTTCTCCTTGCATAATTCATGAACAGCTATGAATTAACATGTTTAGTGTTGGATAAACGACAAGTAGAAGTTTAGTGTTGTCAATATCATTAGTTAATTCATAACATTTTTCTTCAATTCTTTGTATTCAGTTCTTAATGTTGCCCTTGACACATGGCTACTGCCCTCCTTCGATTGTTCCAACGAAGGTTTAAGGTTACTACCACCTATATGCCCCAGGAAACGACTTTAGTGACTCAACTGTCACCACATATTCATTTGCCCGTTGGTGTCCTCAGCAGTAATTGCTATGTGATTGACCCAATCAATCTTAGATCCTCTTGACATTTATTTTCTGATCAACTTTATTGTAATACTTTTTTGTCTTTAGAAAAAGAAAAGGAAAGAAATACCAAGTCTGACATCTTTATGCATGCACTTATTAATCATGAATGAAAATGTTGCATAGCTATTCTATATGAAGAATTCTCACATAAACAAAAAGAAACTACTCTTGGTTATGGCCTTATGAAATCATTGTTGCACTAATTGATGATTGGCCTTGTTTACTTTACAAAGCAGGTAACGCTCATTGATATTATGAAATATCTAGTACCTTTTCTCTCTTTGAATACCAAATGTCTTAAGAGGTATACTGATGTCCACTTAAGTCCGATGCTTGAACCACCTCCATGCCATATCTATGCCACATGAACGTTGGTTTCCTTAAACCACTATGAGATATTCACAGCAGGATAAGTAAAAAATTGTGAGGATAACAGTTTATCTTAAAGTACACTGCTCCGCAAAATTAAGAGTAGGTTTAGCTCTTTCCTATAATCCAGATGGTTCCATATCCCATCACCAAAGAAAATTCAGGATCTTCCCTTGCACATTGATACCCTGACCTGATGGTTAAAATGTCCACAGGGGTACCTATGCTTTTCCACTTGGGTTAAGGTCATGATCAGATCTTTCCCTTTTTGAATTTAATCCTGACATTGTGGAGGTCACAGGTAGGTGAACAAGATGTGTAATGGAGTTATTATAGTATTTTAAAGTCAAAAGTTGACACCAACTTGCACTCCTAACATAGACCATTAAGTAACAGTTGGTATAGTTTTTGCTATTAATTTTAGGGATATGAACAGAATTACAGGAGCTGCTGAGAGATTCGGATGGATACAGCTTCCCCATCAGCTTCATCTCTCATGGCATGGTATTTTACGTGAAGGCCTGCTTCAAAAATGAAAGAAAAATAACGAAATAGTGATTTATAATATAAAATTTCACAATTGCATTTAGAAAAAAATAAAATTCACAATTGAGCTTCATTGCAGAGTTGCAGACTGATTTATAACCCATTTAAAGACAATTCAGGGAAGTGCCAAATATCTGAATGCTCAATACTAGTAGAACTGTAGAAAGTGATTCATATAAGATTTTCAGGGTGATGGGCGAGAGGATATAAAGGATGCAAGTACTGAGGAGGTGTTTTTTTACCTTCATTTTCCTGCAAATTGGTATTGACGGCTACTGCATGGAGTGATATCATAGCTTTCGGCTGCCAGTCTTTGGGTTTCCCTACCCATGACTTGAGATCAAATACCTCTGCCATACCATTTGGAAATTAGATGATCATTTCATATCTTAAATATCAGGAAGCAACCAAACATTTCACTAACATATCTCTTGCCACTGTAGGAAAGTGAATGGGTGATCAATAGTAAATCAGATCCCTTCAATATTTTTTAATTCATCAATTCTTATGTGTGACAGTTGCATACCAATTGATTGCAATCTCTTTTCATCATGCATATATTTCTGGCTTTCAGATCATAATGCTGGACAATCACATTCAGTTTACATTTCAGATCATAATGCAGGAACTTTTGGCTATCTGCTGGAATTCTTAATTATGGAGTTCAATGTTAAGGTCTTGCTCCTATATATTTGTTTCCTATGCAGGGGAGCTGGTTGCAACAGTACAGGATTTAGATCCTACAGATGAAGATAAACTTGAAAAGGAGAAGCAAGCCTTCATCAAAGTTCTTGGGAAGAGGCCCAAATATATTTGTGGCTTGGGGTATGGAGTGAAACCCCCACCAGCCCGTCCTAATGCGGAGCTAGAGAATGAAGAAGACTTAGGATTGCAGCTGAAAAGAAATACGCTAATGCTGTTGAAGTAATCAAGGATATGGAGACCAATATGGAGCAAAGATTAGAAGCTAAGATGAGTATGATTCTAAAAGGGGTTGCTCTCTCAAAGCAATATTCCACCACCAAGCTCTCCATAGGAAACAATATTTGTGGCTTGGGTGATCATGTATTTTTGTTGAACAATGTGTTGATTATAAGCTTTGGTGATCATTTGAACGTATGCTAGTGAATTGTGATTGATATTGAACATATGCTACTAAATTGTATTTTTGTTATAAGTATCGGTTTGGTGATGATCCATTTTTGTTGGTATTGAATTACAGGGACCAATTTTTGTTGCATTGTGACTGATAGATTTTTGTTGCATTGTGACTGATATGGTTAATATGCTACTGCTTTGCATGTAAATCATTTTAAAAATAATTTTTGCCCTTTTGTGACTCCAAAGAGGGTCGGTAATTAGTTGAGGCTTTTATGACTCCATTTTAGGAGTCGCAAATAAGAAGCTATTTTCGATGCCCTGTTGGGTCGTAAATACCAACATATTAGCGACGCCAATTCGGCGTCAGTAGTAGGGTTATTGCCGACCCCAAAAAGGGGTCGGAAATTGATATAGGTTTTCCAACGCCAATTCGGCTTCAGTAATGAGGTTATTTCCGACCCCAAAAAGGGGTTGGAAATTCACCCTAGCTTTTCCGACCAACCCTTATTTGGGGTCGTTAATACCCTTTTCCGGCACTATTTTTTGGTTTTTACGACGCCTTTTGGGGCCGGAAATAACACCATTTGTTGTAGTGATTCCCCCATTCCCAATTTTTGCCTAGCACCGCATTGTGTATGGTTCAAGCATCACATTCCAATGGATAACATCATTATTACATGGTTATGCCACTGAGTTTACCTCAATAAGAGTCCTATATGCTAGATGATATATAGTACTTTTACATTAATATATTTGTAACTATCTTCAACAGCAGTTATATTGTTTGTTTTGCTAATTGCAAAAATTGGAAGTGGTTATATGAAGTCAGAAGTCCTATATGCTAGATAATATATAGTGTACTTTTAGATCAATATATTTGTAACTATCTTCAATAGCAATTTATGTTTGTTTGTTTTGCTAATTGCAGAAATGGGAAGTGGTTACATGGAGTCAGGAATGGTGGTCTTATGGAAGGACTCATAGTAACACGAGTTACTATTTAATTTGAGCCTTTAGGAAAAAGTGTTTTTGTGCTCTGCACATCTTATGTCTTATCAAAAGTTGTATCAGAGCCCGTTATGCATCCATTAAGCTAAAGAGTGGTGCTGAGATGAGAAATTTTACGACTGTGAGGGTTTTTTTCTTTCTCATGAACAATCCTGGTTCCTAATTGATTGGTCTTTACTTTTGTTGTGATGATGAGTCTGGTTTTGATGTACAGACCTTATTATTATGGTAATGGTAAATACTCTTTTACTGAGAGATCATCATTATAAGATGATGATTACTATTACTGCTAGAATTGCTATTATTATTATTTTATTATTATTATTTTTTTTTTATGTTGGTGCATGGCTGTTGCTATTAGATACATAAAGGAAGGTGAATCTCTAAGAGTCCGCGTTACATGTATTCTCAATGAGGTTTAGTTTGATATTTGATCTTAAGATACATATTCATCTTTTACATTCTTCTTGTGATTTTGTAAATTCTCCTAAACATATTCATCTTTTTCATGACATTTGAAGTGTACAATTTCAGTGGATGAAGAAGTCTAGTAAAATGGTAGAGGTGGTATTTTTGCAAGTAAAACCGGTGATAGTTGCATGGTGGGGTTTTTATCGAGTTTAAAGTTTAAGGGAGAAAAAAAGAAAAGAAAAAAATGTATAGTTGAATGGAGATTAATTTTTCAATCATGAATTATGAAGATGCTAGAAAGTAGTAGTTTTTCCTAATTATATGAACTTTCGGTTGTTGATATGGTCATGTTCCTCCCGTTGGTTAAATAGCCAAAATTAAATTGGTTACTTGGGTTTACTAGTGAGATCAATAATGACATAACTATATATTTATATTTTAATTAATTTCTGAAATAGTTTTTGATCCATTGATTTATTTTATATTACTTAATTTTAACTTAGAACATAAGAATAGTTAATTTAGCTAATCCATAATTAATTCAATTTGTTAATGTGGCTCAATCAAATCGCAACAAATATTAAAATTAAATATAAAATTAAATTAGGTATTGCCTGACTTTTGCCTTTGATATGTATTTTAAATCATAATTTTTGTTTTTAAACATTTGTTTAAGATTTATTGGATCGCATTCAACCTGAGTGGGACCCAAGCATTGATTTATTTTTTACCTCTCCATGTGAAACAACGGCACCTTGAAACTTTAAGAAGAACGCCGACAAGAAACGCCATTTCTGTCATGTGTAAATGATGTTAATGTAAAAACATAAGATTGCCGGCCATTCAAATCCCGCCAAAACCAATCCTGTGTAAATGATGTTAATTTAAAAACTTAAGATTGCCAGCCATTCAAATGTCACCAAAACCAAGGCATATCTCTCTTTGTATGTGAAACGATAGTACTAGAAACTTTAGAAAACCCTAACAAAAAACATCATCTCTGTCATGTGTAATGATGTGTAATGTTAACACATGGGATTGCTAGCCACTCAAATCTCACCAAAACCAAGGCATATCTCTCTTGTATGTGAAACAACAATACTAGAAATTTAGAAAACCTTAACAAGAAACGACATCTCTGTCGTGTAATGTTAAAACATGAGATTGCTAGCCACTCAAATCTCGCCAAAACCAAGGCATATCTCTCTCTGTATGTGAAAGGACAGTACTAGAAGCTTTAGAAAACCCTAACAAGAACGCCTCTGTGACATTGTGTAATGTTAAAACATGAGATTGCTAGTCACTCAAATCTCACTAAAACCGAGGCATATCGTTCTCTCTATGTGAGACGATGGTACTAGAAACTTCAAAAAACTCTCACAAGAAAACTCCCCTCTGCAACTATTCAGTCTCCATGTTCCCATCTTTGAAACTCTGCTATTCATCTCCGAAACCATAAGAAGACCACGATGACTCCATCTCTCCCTCTACAAATCTTAGAAACCCTAAAAAGGCCATGACTCCATCTCTTTCTAACCCTACCATCGTCTCAAACCCTAACAAGAAACGCTAGTCTCTCATTGCATGTGACATTTCTGATAAAACTAAGCCATTTGAAACCATCATCGTTCTAAAACCCTAAAAGGTTGACATATTTTTTTAACTTAAAAAAATATAAAACATGAGTTATAGTCATTTTTTAAGTTTAAATCCGACAAATATATATATGTATCTCACTCACATGGTCATCCATATTATTCCAAATTCTAATATTTCCTACCAGTCCTTCACTTTTTAAAATAATAAAAATTCTTTTAATTCTGAAATAGTTTCATGCAGTTTTTTAAAATCATATAAACCAAAAACAAAACACATGTAAGCATTGAGAAAAGCCCAAGTACCATACTTTATGTATTTAAGAAACTTAAAAATAGAATACACATGTTTAGTCATGTGATTGACAAAGTCAATAAATAAACACATATAGCAGTGGTCCAAAATTAATCCACTAACAATGAAAAGTTATTAAAAACCTTTCAATCCAATTAACATTCCATCATGAACGAAAATAAATAGAAAAAAGAACAAGCACATGAATAGGATCATCTTATTTGTCTTATTATAGATGTATGTACATGTATCAGTAACTGTAAAGCCATTCTAATCAGGTTCGTAAAATATTGTAAAAAAAACAAAATTAATATATTAAACTTGATCTAAACACGCTCACGCAAAAACTGATCAAATACGTTAATATATTAAACTTGATCTAAACACATTCACGCAAAAACTGATCAAATACGTACATACCCATGGTACCGATATAAAATCACATTAATTATGCAACGGTAAAGGAGAATAATAAGTTCCTAGACCATAAGTTCTGATACCACATATTAACTTTAATTTATTTGTGCAAACTATTCATCACAAATAAACATGAATCCCAAATCTTAGATCTTTAATATTCTCACATACCTATAATGCATAAATAAATATAGTTAGATATAAATACCTTGATCTGTGATTGCAAATATCGTAGAGATCAAGTTCAACGTCGAGATCTTTTCTGCGGAACGAACAACATGCTAAACAGCAATAGCCAAAGCATGGAAACCGATTTCTCTCTCCTGACCTTTTGCACACATAAATATTATACGTGTTATTTTCATTAGCGTACATAATTGATGGGATATATGCACTTTTATAAAGATAGTGAGAGATGACCAGTTTTCCTTTTTAGTAACCTTAATTCCACTTTCCATCAAAGTAAGGAATAAATAGAAAAACACTTCTTCAATAATTAATTACTATAAAGATAATTTATAAGTTAACCAAATAATATAATATTAATCGGATACCTATTTACTTAACCACTAATTAATGAAATATATCACATGTTCAAAACATGTGGGCCATAAATAAAAGAAAATATTTTACATATAGTTCATTTATGATAAAATACTCATATTTTATTGAATTATTAAATATATCTTTTTTTAAGCCCCTCGAAGAAACATTAAATTGCAACTCTAGGATAAAAATTGTCATGCAAAAGTAACATATTTTATAATTCATGCATAATAATTTTATGATTCATGCATAATTTATCAGTCCCCTTCCACATTTTTTATGAATATGAACCACTCCTATACAAATTTTTCTTTGCAAAAATCACATAGTATATTGATTTCTATCCATGTGAAATTGTTATGTCATATAAATAGTATGATAACTCAAATTAATCTCTTTTCATATTTCTATTGAGATATTGATAAAAATTAAAAGTTATATTATTTAATATTCTACCATTCAACTCTTAATTTATTTCTAAAAAATTTTAGGTAACGACCTATTGGATATAATCAAATTATGTGTCCCAATATATAATAGTTGTTGGAATATTTTCTAAGTCTAAATTTAATAACCACTGTTATGTGAAACAACTGGGCATAATAGCAAATTCGAAAATAAAGTGACAGTTTTGTGCGAGAAAGTAAACTTTCTTGTGTTTTATGCGGGGAAATATTTTGGGAAAATTTATCAATGCGGGAATCCCACTTTCTCAAAAATTTTCCCTTTACAGGTAACCAAACTCCCAAAAATTAATTTTCTTTTTCGTTTCTTTTCCTTTCTACCTATTTCACTCTAACCAAACGAACCCTAATGGATTCTAATAGATTATCAGTCAATTGACAGTTGTGTAATTTGTGCTCC